TCCCTAAGAAACTATTTTCATGTGAAACACATTTTATATAAAACACATATATAAACCGTAGGATAAAATCTTGTGTGTTTTTTAATTGGAAATTAGTCCAATTAGGAAACTAAGATTAAAAACAATTTAGCACTATAAGTTTATAGCTGACAAGTTTTCATATTGTGGCAGAATGTATAAATTTGAAATTCAAAACAAAAGACGAGTTTGTATCATTAGAAATTCAGTAACCTTTTGTCTATACAGAAGAGTTTCAAGTGACACAATTTTTGCTCAGGAAGTCCTAATTCTACTTCATGTATTTTTAGGATTATATATTCTTGAACTTTTACAAAAGTAACAAACTCCATGAGTAAACATTTACCAATATTTGGGCTCCATGACAGTAACTCCTAAATATAACTAGTGTACACTGAAACGCACTTCCACAGAAGGAAATTATGGGCCATATTAAGAGCTGGTATTATAACTATTTTCCAATCCAGAAAGTGGCAATGTTATAGTATGCATCATTTTTAAAATTTATATATGACATAGAAGGATGCATTTCTTGCACATATTGCATACATACATTAACAGTAATTTTGAACATGTGTAATTTATTTGTTCCGTACATTAATTTATTAAGTTAATTTCCAGAAATTTTACTTTAATGTATAATGAATGACAGATATAAATTAATATATTAGTTTTATCCTTTTCCAGTGTTACTGTTCCTTAAATTGTTCATGTTTAGCAATTAGCATTGTAACTGAGTATTTATCCTATAGTTTCAGGTTGTGCAGAACACACCTTGAAGACCTAAAATTTAACTATTACAGAGTTAAAGCAAAATACTGAAAAAGAGGTATCTCTTACAGCTCTGTTTGTACTATGAAAGAAGCATTTTTCACACAATCAGGGCAGCAATTATTAAGAGCAACACTGTAGATTGTATTTGTAAAAGCTGATGACATTTTTCATGGGACAGATTTATATGCAATGAGAATTTGCTACCCTATAATTGTTAAATGTCTCTTGTATGAAAAGTTCATATCTGAAGCCAAAATACAATTTAAAATCAACTTTAAATCTTTGAGAAAACAGAGCAAATCAGTGAAAAGAGACAACTCTGTGTTCTTTGTTATACTGCACATGACCCTGTTTAAATGATATTTTAATCACCAGAATAAGATACTTACTCTAAACACTTCAATATTCTATGCTCTTTTGAAAGTAATATCCCCAAAACAAAAAAATGCAGTTTGCTTTGCATATTGCTTTTTACACCCTCCTTCCCAAATGTACAAATGGCATCCAAAGGTAGTTTCAACAGTTATGCAAGCACAAACATACACACATAAACACTTACAGAGGACTAGATCTTGCAGTCTCAGCATCACCTTACTTATCAAACACAAGTCTGAATTCTGGGAAATATTGAAAATGCTGAAGAATATGGCACAAATAATTGGAGCTGAAATTCTTAGCAATCTAAGGGACCCCTTTCTCTCACATGACACCAGAAAGCAGCATCTTTCTATTTGGACTAAAGCCACAACTTTGACTCTCAAATACAAATATTTTCCAAAAGTTCAAATTTCATTCTGTCACATATACAAATATTCAAAGTTTTTCTTTTAGCTTCTTAATGCAACTGCTGGTGAATCTACAGGATTCACAGTTTCCTATAAGAGAACATTCTTTTAAAGTGACACAATATATGAAAAAAATAAACATACTCTTAAGGAAGTATCACCTTCAGTTTTCATTCTAATTGTATGACATTTTGTTCTTAAATGTATTTCATATATCTCACGAGGCCACTGGCTTGAATGAGTTTCCATGAATTCTATGATGTCCATTTACAACTGGTACAAAAGGAATGTAACACTTCTTACATTTATAACTTGTTGAACATATTCTTTAAAAAATTGAAATATTAAACTTGCAAATGCATTTATCTAAACATTTTGTTGAACAGTTTTAAAGTCCAGAGTTCAGACACAACAGAACGGTTAACATAGGGCACTTTAGCACCAAGTTTGATTACATATGTACTATGAATCTTGGATAATTAATTTCACATAGCAAAAGTTCATTTGGGGATTTTTTTTAGCACTGAGGAAAAACCAGGATGCTTTAATTTTGCAACCATGGACTGGATGATTAGAAAGCATTGCATATGTGTTTACATGTTACAGAAAATGAAGCAAATTTATGGGGCAATGCATTGGCTATTGCAGATCTGATGGAAATACATTTGAATGAACAGAGTCCACTTAGATCAGGGGTATCACACTCATGTCATCATGGCATTGTCATGTGATGTATCGGGACTTTTTTGCCCTTTGCTAAACTGGGCTGGGGCAGGGAAAATCATGTGATGCATGCAGCCCACGGGCCGCGAGTTTGACACCCTTGACTTAAATCAACACTTCCCATTTTGTTATCTGTGCTCTATTTTTTATTGGTTGGGAAAATTGTTCACAGAAAAAAGCCTGATCCTTCATGACAGTCTTTGCTGTTTCCCCCTGTCGTTAAAGCTGCAGTCTACGAGAGAAATATATTACGTGTGTATGTATGATACGGACAAATAAGTAAATGGGACAGAGACCATCAGACATATTCCTTCTCTCATGAGGATGGACTTAAACATTTTATCTCCACTATTTTTTTCAAGAAACCCTTGAATTAAATGTTATTTTTGAGTTTAAAATGCTGATTTCACAAACTGAAATTTGGGAGTCCAGAAAATCTCATGTGAAAAATTCACATGTGCGTACACACACAGACAGACATCACCACACAAAACTGTTTTCTAAAGTTTGAGGTTAACTGTTGTCATTCCATTTCTTCAGATTCTGGAATTTATGACAAATTTAAAATGTGAACATTTATTTATTTGAATTTTATCTCATCTTTATTACTTTATAAGTAATTCAAGATAGTGAACACACACCTAATACTCCTTCCTATTTTCACCACGCAACATGCCTGTGAGGTACAGTAGGTTAGCCTGAGAGAGAATGACTGGCCCAAAGTCAGTCAGCCGGCTGTCATGCCTATGGTGGGATTAGAACTCAAGTCTCCTGATTTCTAAACCACTATACCAAACTGGTTCTCTTTACTCACTGTGACATCATAACAAATCATTTCCAAGAAACACTCCTAAAAGTAAACTTAATTGTCCAGTGTTTTATTTTTTATCAGAAGTTAAATACATTTAAACTATATTTAAAAGGGACTACTTTAGTCAAATATCAAAAAATATAATTTATGAAATATCTTTGAGTTAACTGTTAAAACCTCCTTTTTTTGATATTGATAAAACCGTGCAGAGGAGAAGTCTCTAAATAAAGACTCCTCCATACTATCAGTTTGCATTGCCTGAAGAACTTACATATATATTCATTTCATCTTAAACAGAGACCGAATTAATCGCTTCAGAAAAGACTATGAAACAAAGCCACAAACTGTTAAGTCAATTAATAGCATTTTGAAATCCAAGGTTGAATGCAGCTCCCAAATACATGCTTAAAAATATCTACCTTCCACCTATATTCTTTGCTGTAAAATGCTGAACATAATTGTACTCTGCAATTTGAAAACTACTTACCATTCTGCAAATTGTATTCACTAGTAAAAGTACCATATTTTTCAGACTATAAGACGCACCAAGATTTCAAAGAGGTAAGTCAGGAAAAAAGTTTTTGTCCTCCCCAGCCCACAGGAGAACTGCAGGCTTCAGCATGGCTCTGGGAAGGCAAAAATGCCCCCATTTTTCACCAAAACGGGGCATTTCCCCCTTCCATCAGCCCTGCTGAAGCCTGCAGAGTGCTTCTGGGGTGTGGGGGAAGGCAAAAACAACCCAATTTTTCACAAAAATTTAATGCGGGGGCAGGGCTTCGGGAGGCCAAAAATAGCTGTGTTCGGTGTATAAGACACACTAATATTTCCACACTCTTTTTTTGGGGGGGGAGTGGGTCTTATACTCTGAAAAATATGGTAATTAAAAATTAAAATGTTTTATAGGCCACTGAAAGCTATATGTTATAATGAGAGATGGAAGCAAGTTCCTCATCTGTCATCAGTTTCCAAACCAAACATACAATAACAAACTGTTGCTGAAACTTGGCAATACTAATAAAGCTGATACTATCTTAACTTGCCTTCTCCTCTACTCTCAAGAGTTTCATCAGTAATTGTTCATTGCTGTTGCATTTTATGAAGGTGATGCAACCTGTTGCTGCTTGGGAACAAAAAATGTCAATAGAAAAATGTGATCATCCATAAAACATATGCATACATGTTTTCATTTTAGAAAGAAATGTAAACTATGGACAATAACATTACTTAAACTCTTAGCCTTAAACCCTTATGCCCTTCTTAAGACCTAAGACAAATTGGACCTCTGAAAAAAATTGGGTAAAAACTCAAAATTGCCATACTGTAATTTTTTAACCTGATAAAATGGAAATTTGGGGAATGCATATAAAATTGTTATAGGAACTGCATTCAATTACTTTGATTAATACAAAAGTATTAATCAATGAAACTTAGTACCGTATTTTCAGAGTATAAGACACAGCAAGGTTTTGAAGAGGATTTTTTTAAAAAAAAAGGTTTTTACACTCTGCAAACCTCCCACAAACGGTCCATTTGAATAGCCCTTAGGACGCTTTAGAGTCCTCCTTGGGCGGCCGGGGGGGGGGGGGAGGCAAAAACAACCCAAAACCAGCCATTTTTTTAGAAAACAGGCCCGTTTTTTGTCAAAAGAAGGGCAAGGATAACCTTTAGGAAGCTTATGGGGCGCTGCTGGGGACTGCAGGGATGGGGTGTTTTTTGCTCATTTCTGCCCTCCCCAGCCCCCAGGAGCTTTCTGAAAGCCTTCTAAAAGCTATGCAAGGCCATTTTGGTGAAGGGGCGGAGTTTCAGGAGGCAAAAAATGCTGTATTCAGTGTATAAGATGCACCCAGATTTTCAGCCTCTTTTTTGAGGGAAAAAGGTGCGTATTATACTCTGAAAAATACAGTTGTCTTAATTTGTTGTCTTAAGCTGGCTTTTTTTCCTTTTTTTCGAAACCAGTACAAAAGCGAAAGAAGCTTCTCATCTTGTAAGGACTTATGCATTTATAGGTTAGACTAATGAGTGGTTAGCTTGCTTCTTCTGATCCAGACTGATAATTTTTTTATCTAGAATTACAGTGCAAGTTTAATTTTCCCATTTTTGGTGACTTTTTCACACACAAAAATCTATTTTTTAATAATGTTTTTTTAATAATTGAACTGTATGAAGGATTAACCAGACATGTGAAACTAAATGCAAGTCTTCTCATTGGAACAACCATAGGAGTCACTGGCTTCAAAATGAAAGACATGATTCAATGATCAAAGTCTCATTCCTTTCTAATATCCAAGGCATGGCAGTACACTTACATTAAAAAAAAAAAAAGTTTTGATCACCATGTGCTGCCTGGCATTTGGAAGTCAGGGTCCATCACTGTGAGTGAGTTTGCTTCCCATGAAGTAAGCAATGATGTTTTGCAACCAAAGGCAATTTATAAGACAGAACCATTCATAAACAATTTAGAAAGTTGGTTTATAAACCAGAATCAAACATTGTTTTGGTTATTCGGATGTATCATCATTCTATTTCATAAATTATATTTGTTAAACCATAATAAATAGTTTGGTCCCTGTTGTTTTATGTTGATTAGCTTCGTATCCCCCTCCCCAATTTCTTTTGCTGCCCTCCAAGAAAACCCCCCTGCTTTAATCAATATAAAAATGATTGCCTTATGTAACTGTGATGCAGCATTGCAAAAATGATGAAACAAGAAATAGTACATAAGAGCATACTCCTCAGTGAACACTGTCAAACACAGCAGCATTTCCAACAAAGTATAAAACAATGTCGTGGCAGAGTTTCAGGATGGAATAATTTGTGCAGCCATATCATGGTCTTTAAAAGCACCCAAGTTATTTCACATATCTCCCATAAGTACATCCTGCAAAAGTTGCTACTTTTTGGTTTCCCAGATGGGACAGTAAATGTATGATTAGAATGTAACAGTATGTCACCACAGTTTGGATTGTTTAAAGAAGGGAAATCCAATGTTGGATTATTATTCCTAATTCCTTTTCAAAATCTTGGGTCAATAAAATACAAGAAGAGTCTGAAAGATGGTGGTCACTTCTTCAACAAATAAATGGAACAGAAAGTGACCAATCCCCCACTATTATTTTTTTTGAAAGACATCTTTATCTGGAAAGGAAGGAGAGTGGTTAAGGTTTCAAGGCTTTAAGTGAATTATTGATCCACATTGAGAAGGCCAGATGACAAACAGTAATGCTTTATTCTGGACTTCTCCCTTCCCTCTCCTCATCTTGGGATGGCGATTTTGACAGCTTTCCTTCCCCTTAATATAAAGTGCAGGAAAAATGGATAAAGGTTTAGTTCCAAAACCATTTCTCTAAATTACCAACAGACTTGTATTCTTGGTGTCTTTTTATATGGTCACAAGCGAGACATGCATGTGATTCCCAGAATCGAGAAAGGCGCACTGAAAAATCCTTCCTCCAGTTGAAATAGCTAATATACAGTTTAGTGTTTTTATCAAGCATCAGAAGGTACTCTGAAAGGTCCTTTGGAGACAGGAAATCCTCCACATGTATGAAAGAGTTAGCTGGGATGTAATTCTCATAGTTTTCTCTGGGAGGACCTAGAACCACTGGCACAGATCCAGCAAAAAGAGCATTGTAGAGTTTCTCTGTAATGTAGTCTTTATGGATAGAATTTTCAAAGGAAAGATAAAACTTGCAAGTGGAAATAGTGGGGATCAAATTTTTATCACTGATATAATCTCCAAATGCTTGTCCATAGGTATGAATTTCAATATATTTACTTAATTCATTATAATACTTAACTCTAGCATGCTCAGGATTCCAGTTACTCACTACCCAACATACAAGTTTTTCTTTATTCGGGATTTCGTACTCAAAGTAATTTGTGCTGACTGTCATGAAGCCATAAGGCACCTGAATATCTGAATCCCGACGATAGGTGAGGGTCAAATTGAACAAATGTTCAATCCCGCTCTTTTGTGGAGTATGAGTTGGAGATTCCAGGTTCATCCAGATCCATTTCTGAAATGGAGGTCTAGGCTGCTGAGGTAAATTAGTCAGATCCCAGCTAATGTCTCTATGGTGAATGAGAACTGCATGAGACCGGTTATATAGTGTGCGATCCGTTGTCAGATGGCATCCATGAATATTAAAAGTGGGACAGAATTTCAGATCAAATGTCTGTCCAAATGGCCAAACCCATATCAGAATTGTTGTTTCATTAATGTAATCACTTTTGGTTGAGAAGAAATTCTTCATCTTTAGAACTGAGCTGGCTGATTCAATAGGACTAGAGATCCATCCGCTTGTGGGTTTGATGTAGATGAGCAGGCAGGCCATGAAACAGCCAAGCACAATGAAGAGAAATAGAAATGGCCGGAAAATTCCTTTGGATGATGATGTCATAATTTGATCTACAAAAAAAAGAAGGAAAAGTTGTTTTTAGATTAAGGTGATGTTTATTAAAATTTGCATGCATAAAAGAGCTACTCTAAAAACATGTTGTAGAAACACAAAACATATAATGGTTATTATGCAATATTGATAAACCTAACAATTACAAATATTGGGAAAGAACCATAATATTTTCCACAAACTCTAATGGAAGTCAAATGAATTGAAAATATGTGTTGAGGTGGAATGAAAACTGTACTCACTATACTGCATGTATTTGTGTATTTGTATTTCAGTGTTAAATTAATATTTTTCAGTTAGTTGCATCTATATTCAAAATAATCCTTTATTATTTCTGGTTTCAGGAGAAGTCAAAAATTAAATGTTTATATTATTTTTAGGGGAATTTTCCTTTTTTAACATTTATAAATGTTGCTACTGTTATTAATGTTCTATTGGGCATTAATTGTCTAACTTCAATAATTCTTTGTTCATTTTATATGAAATATATGTTCATATATATATATATATTAAATACAGCCGTATTTGTATATATATATATATATATATACATACACATACATACATACATACAAATACGGCTGTATTTAATAAAATAACACATGAAAAAAGAATTAT